AGGTGAACATTTTGTTAGAGGAGTCGCTCCATCGTCGGCGATATTCATCATGGCCGACGCTTGCACGCAGTTCCGCGCGTAATTCAAGGAGAGTTCAAGGTCAATCAATTCGGGCGTGGAAAATATGAACGTTAACACACCGATTGTTATCTGGTCCAATCCAGTTCAGGTGTTATCTCGTCCCATCAAACGTGTTTTGGCGGATTGGCGTCGGTAGAGTCCCTTTATACCCAGAGTTAAGACAACTCACTTTTGGTTGGGCTGAAAGTGGCCTAAAAAAAAATCCAATTCTGATTGGTTCTCGCTCATGGAGGCCGAAACGAGTGCACCAAGATGGCGGTACCTCGAATGTGAACAAGAATAATGAAAATATTACCTAATTGTGGTTTATCAAGAGTAAATTGTCATTTCCATCGGTCCAAAATGAGAATAGATTAAGAAATTATTCATAAATCAATCTCATTTTCTTTTAAATCGATCAATTTGTTGATGTTGTTGTTTTTGTGTGACAGACATCGCAGGATTCCTGATCCTTATCCCTCAATATCGTTCGTTTGGGTGCACTCGTTTCGGCCTCCATGGCCAGCCAAGGCCGGCTGCCAGTCAGCTGATAATCGAGTTGTCTTAACTCTGGGTATAAAGGGACTCTAGGCGTCGGCTATGATGATTATTGCCGACGATGGAACGACTCCTCTTACAAAATGTTCATCTGTGCCGTAGTATCGTTTTTGAAGCGGGAAGCTTAAAAAAACGCAAATTTCTTACGCAGATTGTGAAGTTATGAGTGCATTTCAGACTTTGCCGATGCGCTCATCGTGAATTTTGAGGCATTATCTATAAGAAACAACTCTTAGTTTTGCTCTAGCAAAAGTTTGCAACAGGCCCATTGCAAAATGTACTCAAAATGGTCCTGCTCCTGAACGCGCGTGTTCGCACTCTGAATCGATTGATTTTCCATTTAAACCTGTAGAAAAGGATCGATGAACAGGGTGTTCGCTAATAATCGATTCTTTACCATAGCTTCAAATGGGGGAAATATATCGATGATCGAACATTCACGCTCCGCCACTAGAAGCCAGTAGACAGTCATCGAAACACCACTTGATGCTGAGCGGTGATTCACTAAAGGTAAAGGTGAGGTCTCCGACTCACCGGCACCGACAAGGAGTGCCTTCGGTTCATCTAATCGCTGAAGTATTTATTTTTACAGGCTCTAATAAACGACTAAGAAAATAAAAAAAACAGGAAGCGCAAGATAGAGTAGAGTTCCGAAAGCTTCCTATGAGACGTTCTGCAGGTGCAGAAACTTCTCGGCCGGAGAGAGGGGTCTTGGAAACGGGAGACCGGTTCGCGTCACGGTGAAAAGCGTGACTAGTTAAAAGCATTGACTTAAGTCGCAGAATTTTTCAATATAAAAAAAAAAAAAAAAAAAAAAAAAAAAAAAAAAAAGTCACTCGTCATTGCAGGCATTAAACCTTTTTAAACCAGTTGTCTCCCTACAGTCTGTTTGAAGATAGAGACGGCTTGTAAGATGCAACTATTCGTGCGTTCCAGAATTTACATACCCAAAGAAATGAAGGCGTTTTGACGACCGCACATCCCTCCGCCTTTAATTGGACCGAGTTTAACAGAAAGGAACCAAGACACATCAGCTATTGCCAAGTTTAACTGGGCGATTAAATTTTTTACGAGAGAACGTTTGTTAGGATTTCTTTGAAAATTTTAAGGAATTTGCTTCCTACCATGGAAAATTTTCACTGAACTTTGCACGAAAATCCGCACAACTGTTTTCATGCAAAAAATTAAATTGCCCAATTAAATTTGGCAATAGCTGATGTGGCTTGGTTCCTTTCTGTTTAACACGGTCCAATTAATTCAATTCCATTGATTATTTTAAAAACGGTTTCTCTGAGGTGATGTTGAAAGAGTTCCATTGAGGATAAACTAGCAAATGGCATGAACTAAGTCGCGAAATAGATTTTAAGAGTAAGGGGGGGGGGGGGTTCATCAATTAGAAAAAAGTTGAAAAGGGTGAAGATGTTTTCCCCCTTTTTTTGTTAATACCAGGGTGACATCGGAATTAAAAATCGCTTGACTTTTCGAGGATCCTGGACATACAATTCTTGGACTTTTCAATGGTTTTTCCAGGCATGTTAAGTTTCGACTTAAAATTGGAAAATTGCGATGTTTGGGCTGGAAGAAAACATTTCAAGGTTCCACAGTTGAATTCCCCAAGGGTCTATAATCTTCCAAGCTTTCCAAGAATTGCCTTCTAGATCGGGGTTGAGAATTTTCCAAGAAAAATAATGAAATTTGTTTCTTTTCAACTTCAACAATCCGCCGAATCGCTACCTACCATCAAAGCTCTCCATCAAAGTTCCAGTTTAATTATTGTGTAAATGAAATTCTGTAGGTACGGTTTTCTGAAATGCCCGGGGGACAAAATCATAATTTTGCAAAAATAATTTTTTTTTTTTTTTTTTTTAAGCGGCTCTCCAAGATTTTGGAGGCTCTCTAAGTTTTTGCGCAATTCGGAAGATTATCCCCCATTGAAATTCCTTGAATTTTCAGAGGTAAACTGAGTTCCCTGACTCTTCCTGGTTTTCCTGCCTTTTCAAGAACTTATAAGCAAGAGGAGCCAATTGGAGATAAAGAGCTCTCTACAATCATGAAAGCCCACTCAAAACTATCAAAGCTCCATGCATAAATATGAGAGGACATTAATTAGGTATGAGGGTATGGACATGCCATTTGATGGAGGCCTTAAGCCTGTGGGGCAACCGGCCTCCACGAAGTTATTTTATGGAGACATTGTTAAGTATAGTAGTAATGCAAATAATGAATTCAATTATGTGTTTTGGATAATTTTTCTGGACTCTCCCAAACAAATCTTGATCCTAATAGTCATATGAAATATCTGAAAATATGATGGGTCATTTGAAAACATAGGTTGGCTGTCCTTAAGGGTTCCAAATGATTTGAAGAGGCATTGGTGAAGGCGGCATTCATTTTTGGACTTCCACACATGTCCGTCCTCTCCCAATAACAGTTCTTACTCTACTGATGGTCTCTGAAACTCATCAGAGTTCATTTCATGACTCTGTAGAAGTGCAAGAATTCTAGGGGGGAAAAATTGGCAATTTAACTGTTTTCAAACTCATGTCCCTCTTCTTTGACCACCTTCCTGTCGACATTCACATGAGAGACAAAAATTGATCAAATGATAATTTTTCGAACACATCACGCAAGATGGGTGAAGAAAGGTGGCAATTCTGTGAACAGAAAACTGCTTTTTCTTCCAAGTCGATCTCCTTACATTCCATCCACATCCACATTACATCCAAAAAACATGATATCCAAGCAGAAAGAGACACAGTCTCTGGTTCGACCCCCAATTCTCTGACCAACTCCCTAGATAATCACCCTTGATGAAGGAATTTCATACATTTTCAGACACCTGCAAATTCTCCGGTAGAAGTAATTACTTAGGTAGTCATATTTAATATTTCTACATTAAAAATACTTTTTACAAGAAACCCTACAGAAATGGCACTACCCTTCTGTAGAGTTCTCTTAACATGAGCTTTTTCTATTCAGTTGGAGACAGTCTGCAGTTACCATTCATGATTATCTGACAAGGCTTCAAAGCCAACTGACAGGTACAAAAAACCCAACCTTCACATGCAGTTAATAGCATAAAATATTAGCACAAACTGGAAGTTCTGAAGAGACTTGCCTCTGGCAAGTTTTGAGTAAAATACATTTCAAGGATTTTATACATACCCAGGCAGGAAGGTCATCTAATTTTGCTAAGACTAGATCTTTCTCGTTTGAAGTTGCTGCAATCTGAGCGTTTATTCTTTTCGCCTCACTTTCTTTCTTCCACTCATCGCGCAACACAGATAAAATTACAGGGGCAGCTAACCAAGCAATACTAAGCTCGAAGTATCCTAACAAATAGATGGCTCCAGCTGTTCCTAGCTTTCTGAAGAAGCTGGTAATGAGATGAATGATACTTGTCCTGGCATTGGTTTTCTTGGGGACAATCTGAGATACCTCCTCTTTGGGAGAATCTGCCATGGTGGCACTAGCACAGACAAATTCCAACTGTTTAGGTCACTGTTAACACATGAACTAGCCCGAGAGTCTTCACTACACGAACACCAACACGGCACTAAACTAAAAATGACTCAGAATCAGAGATTGTCTCACGAGGTATTACTGATGACCTTGATCTAGTGCGACCATACTTAGACAAATGAAGGGCACTAGGAAGGCAAAACTGTAACGCATAGATTAAGATGAAAACTGGAAAAATGAAGAAATTAAAAAATTACAGCCACGAAAGAGAGAGTCATAAGCAATGAGCCGCCGAACTGCGAATTTTCCCGGACTCTTATCACTATGTTTACATTTGAGGTTAGAAATGAAGGCGGGGTCTATTTACATTTTTTATCACACAGCTGTTGTCAAGTTTTCTAGGGTTTTTTTAAATCTTTTTTTAAGGTTTGTTTTTCCAAATGTTCGTCACATAATTTACTTGTGCATATATTAATATCAATTTTACTATTTTAATATATCTAATTATGAGACTCAAACGCTCGATTCATTCAGAAGGGAAAGAAATGATCCAAATATTTCGAATAAAACAGGCAACGTTAGCCATCTGCGTGTTTATAACCTAAAATTTTAATCTCAAAGCATGCGAATGATGCAAAGCATGGCATGACTGTTTCCTTCTCTTTGTGCCCGTAATTCGTTTTTCATTCTACTTCTCACATGTAAATTGTGAACATAATCTTGTTTCAATCATTGACAACGTTGTTTTGAAAGAAAACCCCATCAAGAATGTCTGCTGTTGAGGAAGCGATTACTGAGCCAGGTAAACACTCATGGTTTTGAACCACATTCGGAACATTTCAAGAAACAGAAAGAAATATTAAAGTAGAATCTTCCTAGAATCGCATTAATATCCGTGCTAAGATTCAAGGAACGGAGAGACGAACTTCCTAGATGTTGCGCAGTGCTCTATGCTCTAGGCCATTGCAGTATGGGAGTGCACAATTTTGATACGTCAGTAAACTCCTTTTTTTATACTTTTTTTTTTATTTCACAACTTCTAGAGCCTGCTCACGAAAGACTGCGAAATGTGGGTCCATTATATCTAATACCTAGGTACCTATGAAGAAGTTTTTACACACATTGCACTCTGATCTAAATATAGGTAGTAGGACATTACTTTTTGACCCCCTTTCATCTGTTAAAAAATGTTTTTAAACCATTGTTCAAGTTAAATTTTTTTTACACACTTAACCATAATAATTTCAAAGTTTTACAATGAAATTTTAGTTCCATCTGACACCTTTGGACTTGCTGGTTTGCTCGTGCGTAATACAATTCGCGAGAAGAAATATCTGATGGTTTCTAGCTTAAATCATAATTTTAAATAATTCATGTCCTAAAGTGATATTTTAATTAGGTATAATCGAATTCTCTAAATAGGTAAATATAAAATTAATGTCTTATGCATTGCTTTTTTTTATTTGTTGGTATTGCAGTGACTGACTTGTCGCACTTACCCACTGAAAATTTAGTCCCTCGCTGTCCTGCAGAGTCATCTGAAGATTCTGAAAGCAGCTCATCATCATCATCATCATCATCAGAAGATGACTGTTCGGATGTTGAATCAGTTGTGAGGTAAATGATATCATCTTATTTTCCAAGCCACTTACTTGTTTGTTAATGCTTTGCTTGTATCAGTGATAATTGATAAGGTGAACTTTGAAGGTGACTTTTGAAATGAAAGGAGGTTTTTATGTGGTATTCAAACTCAAGGTAGACAGGAGATACCCCAAGGATCCAGTCTTTGGACCAAATTTAGATGAGATTTAGTCTAAGAAATTTGGTTTTCTTACATAACGCGGCAGTCTAGTTCTCTCCCACGTCATTAAATATTTTTAACTGATCAGAAGTTAGGTGAGATTAGGCTTAACAGTTAGAGCTTGGCTAATTGTAGAGTAACCAGTCTAAACTAGTTTTAATAAAGAGGGTTGGTGGAATCCAGTTCTGATCACCTATTAAACTCGAAAATTGGCCAATCTCAGGTCTCAACCAGACTAATACAACTATTGATTTATCTACGTATTGTGAAAGTATACATTTTTTATTTCTGAAAAGATAATTACCCATTGCTGGAATCTATTTCCATCTTCAATTTCATTCTAAAAGGGGCTGTCAAAATCAATAATCAAGGGATGATATCTTTAACTCTGGAAGATTCAATTGAATGAACAGGTAGAACTGAAAAATATGTGACCGTTGATTTCTTGCTTTCTTTGCATTTGTCAACCACAGACCAGATTTTGATGAAGAGTCTTCATATAAAAGTATAATTTACACCTTGTAAACTTCTTTTTCATTGAAGCCTCTCTCTCATTTGATCAGTTTGTATGTTTTTATCTTTCTTCCCACAAAATAGAATTGTTAATTTCTTAATTCATATTTTTAGCTCAGAGATAGAGATCGATAAGCTTCCAAAATTGAAAACAAAAGGGGAGCTAACTCTTGAAGATCTGCCACCAATAGAAAACTTGGAAATCAGTGTACCTGAAGAAGAGTGTCAAGTTATTGGACATATTCTCAACAGTGTTGAAACTTTGGGTATGTTACCGTTTTCTATTTTCCCTTCAGATGCTGAGCCCATAAAAACTGAAAGTACTTCTAACATGTATTAACCCTAATCCTTACTTCCTGCACTGTGCCATTAGCCTGATCCTAGTGATAACACATTCGGTTTAAGAAATTATCAATTACAGTGTAAAATAGAGAAGAGATATTCCTTTTGTTCTTTTAAAGACTGCAAGCATTTTACTTTTTTAAATCAGCATGAAATGACCAGACTAAATTTTAAAAACAAATATCTTTATCACTTACCTACTTATGCTTACACTTCAGGAAGGATCCCTAGCTACAATGAAAAATGCTCTTCATTTCTCTATTCCTTAATTTCGTTCACGGGTAGAAAATCTGTTCAAGAATGGAGTCTTTTTTCTTTTTAAACTCTCCTACTTTTGTATCCTCCTCCACGAGTGCTCAGTAAGTAGACTTGAAATTTTTTATCTCTCTCTTGGTAAAAAAACTGCAAATGAACTCCTTCCGTCCGAAGAAACTTTCTTAAATGCTTCCATAGTTTAAAGTTGACAAAATGTGATTGAATATTATGCACCTTAGTTACAGCACCATTCTAAATTATAGAATTATGAATAGAGAGGAAGGAAAAACTTTAAATCTCAAATGTACAAAAGAATGAAAATGAAGAATATACTGAATCGAACAATATTCATTTAGAATTATAAATCTTGAATGAATAATTATACATGACCTTTGGTTTTTCCAGTTTTAGTCAAAGCAATTCCAAATCTTCCTCCAGTTGACATAGACTCAGTCCTGTTTCTTGATAAAGGTGACTGTGTCTTGGGTCAAGTGTTTGATGTCATTGGGCCAGTAAGTGAGCCAATTTACTGCATCCGCTTCAATTCGAAGGAGTACATCAGTGAGCTATCCTTCAATCCTGGAGATCCAGTTTATTATGCTCCAACTCTAGACTACACACACTATGTATTTTTGCCCGACTTACTAAAGTGAGTATTCTAGTTAGCTTAATGTAACCAAGGAATATATCAAAAAGGAGAAAGAAAGAGGGGAAAAAGTAGTGACGTTCCAAGCACAGCTTCATTTCCAACAAAATTTCCTTTGCAGAATAAAATCAGTATCTGATAATGAACTTGGACATTCATAGATTGACCAAATAATTTAATTTTGATCATTGGACAAACAGCAAAGATGTCTCTATTGAATGAAAATTATTATTTTACAAGAGAAATTGAAAACCTAAAGGTTTTTTCCAAGTTTTGCTCCAGACTTCTTGAAGTATTTTTTGCTACCAGTTCCTTTCTCGAAAGCGACTAGAATTTTTTTTCAGTCTTGTTCCTGATTCTTAGATAATCATCTAGTGATTGCTATTATCTGTATCCTAAAATGCATACATTTATTCTTACTCGCTCATTGATGGCTGAAGAACAATACTGCCTATCTGCAAACTGATGATTTTGCAGGACAAAGACAAAACTTTGCCATTTATGTAATTTTGAAGTTAGATTTTCAATTTTTTTTATACATCATAGCATCATTACAGCGCCTCCACGTGGAATTAAAAAGACAAAATACAACAGCTTGCGTATTTTACACTGCAGGGTGCGGCGAAGTACTCATATTCACCAAAATTATCAGTTAGGCAGTACTGTTCTGTAGCCCTTGTTACACCTTTCATTGTCAACACTGTACCAAATTTGAATAGTGCTGCAATACAATGTTTTTTTACACTTTGCAAATTTCTAGCCCTTTTCCATTTGTGAATATTTCCATATCAAAATGGGTTTGAATGTCCAAATGAATTTGCTTTTATTTTTTGCAGAATGAAGGGGAGTGATGCATCTTGGCAAAACAATCATGAACCTCCACCTAATTTACTTGATTACTCAGATGATGAGCAGGAGAGGCAGGCAAAACGGAAGTTAATGGCCAAGGTATAGATCCAATGAATTTATTTTTTCTTTCAACCAAGCTATTTTACTTTTTTATTAAATTCATCATCATGAAGACATAAAGTTTTAGTGCCCATTTTTTTTTTTTTTTTTTTTTGACCTGTTGAATTTCATAAGCATTACACAGACAAAGGGAGAAAAATAATCATGAAAAGTAGTTTACGATTTAGCTTCTGCAACTTTACTTTTAAAAATGTCCTATCATACAAAACAGTACTTACGGGCCGTATGAAAAGCAAACACCACTGGCTCTTTGCTTGTTCAAACAAAAAATCACAAACTCGTCAGTAAGATTGTTCAATTTTAACGCACATCTGTGCTGTATTGGAGAGTTTTTTTCGTTTATCTTTGTTTACATTTATTTCACCTGAGGGAGTGTTGGGCCTCTTAAATTAAGGTCCTCTCTGCATCGTAGGCCTTGAGGGCCCTATCTTTAATTAACTGTTGAATACTGCATTGCTTCACTAGTTGAAAGAGGTTTTTCCAGTATAGGTATTCTCGGATTTTCCCAATGATATGACTTGAACTCTCTGATTGGTAATGTCCTCTTTTTCCACCGAGCAGTACACTTTTTCATTATTTAAATGGGTCCGTTGTTTCAGAGACAATGGGAAAACAGACAAAAAGTTCAAAATGAGGAAGAAGTTTCTGTTATTGAATCCACTGGAAACACAGACTCAGAAAAAGATCCTCTCGACGGAATGCGTACTGGTAAGTCATCAGCCCGAAGGAAAGCTGCTCGACGCAGACGGTTTCAGAAGAATGGAGACACGGAGAAAAACTGTGCCCCTGTAAATGACTCGAATCAGTCTCAAGACTCCAGGAAGTCGGAGAGCAATGGAGACGTTGAGGAAGAAAATTTGAAAAAACAAAACTTCAATCAATCCTGTGGTCAAAACTTAGATTTTGCCCACAGTAGACAAAATACACCTGGGCGCAAGCAAACTAATCAGTCCAACTTCCACTCAACTCATGATCAAGACAATCAACAAATGAATTCAAACTTCCCAGCAACGAGAAATCCATTTGATTTGAGTAAACATCAGTTCTCACCAAATCCAGGAAATTCTAACAGCTCAAATAATCCCGTAAATTTTTCCTCCCACCCTCAATCCAACAATGCCATTGCAAGCAATCCATTTAGTTCAAGTAAACCTTCAATGTCATCGAACTTTATGAGCCCTACAAACTTCCTCAGTAGTCCTGTTAACTTTCCTCCACCGCCTAATTTCTGCGGTCCTCCTAATTTGCCGAATTCTAGTATTAATTTTCCGCCTAGTAGTTTAAATCCACCAAATAATCCAGGGAACTTTCCTCCACTAGACACCAGTAAACCTCCTCCTCAATTCCCTGTCCCTCCGATCATTTCAGCACCTACAGGTGTTCCGCCTTCCTCCGGGCCCAATTTACCACTACCACCCCCCTCTTTTCTACCATCTCCTGTAAATATGCCAGCTTTCGGTCAGCCTCCTCCTTTCCCTTTTAGACCCTTGATTCAAGGGCCAAATGGCCCGCCAACCTCTTTATCTGAAAGACCACCATGTTTCAATTTTCAGCAACCTTAAAACGATTGTACCTAAGTTTCATTACCAAGACATATGAAAAGATATCTCAGCAATTTCTTTTTCAAAGCTCATAAAAAATAAAAGGAGTATGTTATTGTTTTAGGCAAGAAAGCCTGCCTATTGTTTGTATAAAATGTATGCACATATCTTTTCAGAATCAGAAGGTTATTGTCTTTAAAAAATATTTGAATTCATATCGGCTACCATCCAGTGTCGTTTAATCAGGATTGGTTCATCAGGATCCTGCTGGATTGTATTATTGAATACAAAAAAGAAAATAGGTGCTGTTTAGCTATTAGTTGTATATATAAAACTATATTATGTTTTTTATATGAAATGAATAAGAAGGAAAGTAATAAATGTGAATTATTTTAAACGCTTCCTATTTTTCATTTGTGTTCCTAAATAGGTACTCAGAAAACGGAATTTGGAACGACAGTGTTCAAAAACAGTTTTTGACCCTAATTCTACATGATCTGTCCCTTAAGCCTTGAAAAATGTATTCTATCGTGCAAAACTTATAACTTGAAATAAGTGATATTGAATTAGTTTGTTTGAAATTGAATGTTAGCATAAAAAGTGAGCTAAGAGTCTAAAGATTATTTTCAGCGAAAAAAATGAAAAGGAGGATGGTCTATAAGGTCAATGAAAATGTTGAAATAACTTCTTACATAAAGGTGACAGGCATGCACTCTACATCATTTTTAAAATGATTGATAAAATTAGGATAGAACTTTTAGTTTAGTCAATAATTACAGGGCTCAAACCGAGTGCTGAAATATTTTTATGGCATAGGATAATAATTTAGGCACATGAAAATTGAATTGTTGAACAATTTATTTGCAGCAGAGGTACTTTTTTCTCTGGTGAATATTCTCCAACCTCAACGGTAAATGTGAGCAAGCTTGCTCATTGCTTTACCAGCCAGTTTTCTCACACATACAAGAAAGTTTAAAAAAGTATAAAGGCGGTGGAGCTGCAAAGACGCGTACCTATTTTGTTTGCAGTGTTCCAAAATCTCTGCTCCCATTTAATTTTATCCAAGGAAAGCAAATCAACATAATTGCCCGACATTTTCACAGCATCCCGTAGAGAAGAAAAATCAGGAAAACTCTCAAAGAATACATTTGAGTATTTTTTCACTCTAAAAATGAAGTATGACAGGAAGTCTAAAATGTCGTGAACTGATATCCACAGTAGCATTGACTGTTAATGAAGTAAAATACTCATAAATTTCAAGGAATAAACTAAAAAAAAAAAAAACTTTTAAATAAATCTGAGTTAGGAATTTCTTTCTGTTCTGCCTTACCTATAAATGCCAATTTAAACTTTTAAAAGTTGTTTCTACTTCTTTGTAGTATACTTTTAACCAAAATTTTAGTTTTTCTGATGCATATTTTGCAGTTTACGTTGTGTCTAGCAATCAACATTATTAAATTTTAGAATTTAACAAAATTTTGATTTCAATGCTCTCTCACAAATTCTTTTTAAGTACAAAGTTGGCAAGAATTTCATTTTAAAAAGAGCATACTTAGGGCTCTCTAACCCTTACATTTTAACAATTTGTTTATTTTCTTTTATTTATTTATTTATTTATTCATTTATTTATTTATTTTTTTATTTTTTTACAATCCAGTTTGAATAACCAATGCCACTGGCGCACCCTTGTTCGATTACACTCTAACTCTATCAGAGCGTTTCTTACGTACAAGAAACGCCTTCCGAAAGAGGGATATGTAATGCGTTTCATTTGGCATACACACTGCACAAGAAAACAATGCCAATTGCCGCTTAGCATATTGAAGGCGGATTGGAAAACATTTGCAAGTTTCCAATTTATACATTATTCAGTATCAAACTTATCTTGTCAACGTCCATCATGAAGACGAAAAGCTGCAACGACTCAGGGTGGCATGAAACGTAAGAAAGAAATGCAAGATTAAAAGTTTCAGTGAAATATTTCATGAAATTTCACGACGCTGTGAAAATATGTTCATATTTTTCAGGGGCTAGAGTATGCAACCCGCACCCAAAAACACTATAATAGAAGGAAGTCACAATTTTTACATTTTGCGAAACATGAAAAGGAAATCGCTGTTATAAGCTTCTGAAATATCCTGAAATATTTCACGTGTTTCAAAATTTTATTTTTCATGAAATTTTACCACCCTGCAGCGACAAGAGCAAGGGCTCGCGCGCGCAGCCGCGCACGCGCAAGCGGCAGGACGGTAGCGCGGGAAAAATCACAACAAGACTCCGAGGTTAGGTTTTGTTTTTAAATTAACGGTCGCCGATTGGCCAAAAGCCGGATTGCACCAACTCAAACCAACAACAACGAATTACATATTTTTACTTATCCTTAGTTTATAATTTCTAATCCGTGGATTTTTAAGTCAATAACTAATTGTAACTGTTTATTGTAATCTTCTGTTTGACCTCTTTGCGAGATAAGTCCGCTGTGATCGTTTCACCGTTGACGGTTTTTATCTGTGTCTGCAACACGGTGTTTCAAAGTCCTTATCATCCATGTTATCTCACTCATCTCACAAATTGACTGCTTTTATTATGTCCCTTTCTGTAACAATGAAGCTGCTGCAAGAATAAATTCAGCATATAGTGGCTGTAATTTTGTAGACATCATTTAATTTCACAAATAAAGCTTCAAATTTCATTGTTTCAGAAATTGAAATCGAAATAGCTCTCTTCATGTCGAGTGAGAGTTGAGAACACACATAGTAACGTAGCTTCTAAGTTGTGGCAATCAAATGTTCCGAAACCTCTCCATGAAGAAAACAAGCCTAAAGGTAACATCCTATTACTTTTTACAATAGTTCCACGAAGAGGGATCTCATGAGTATCCTCTTATCATTGAAGTTTAACACAGCACCTTCAGAAGACTTGAGGCTGAAGTGATGGTTTTGCAATGGTTTTATTCCTAAAATTCAGTTCATCTCCCCTGGTCAGAAATTCTGCAGGCTCTATCCATGTGGGAGTCACACTCTGACGACAGAATTAACCTTCATTAAGAAAGTTGGAATTACAAGTCGAGCTTTGAGGACATCTGTAAAATTTTTCAGGAAGCACTCAGGGTGCCTTAGATTGGATCATACAATTTACTAAAGCTTTGCTAAAGAAATGATATGATAATTGAGCAAAAATGTGCTTGCATGCTGTATCATAGTCACTGTTGTCTGCCAAGGCGGATAATGAATAGTGTTGCATTCTGATTTTGGCTGCCACCTCAAAGATTTGTGACATTGGAAGGTATGGGTCTTGCCATGTAAACCGGAGGCCGCACTGCCGCAGGTTGGGCCAGCCTACTGATGTAACCGGGGATGCACCTGATACGGGTGACATCAAGAGGGTATGAAATGCGACCATCATTCTTTATCTGACTTTAGCTGTCTATGTGGAAGGTGCAGGAGGAAAAAAGGAAAGAAAGAAAAAAAGTGAAGGGACCAATTATGTAGCCTGCATTAGATAGCTGATAGTTGGACAAGGAACCCTAAAGTCAAACTCGTAATTATTTTTTTTCATTATTGAGTTTTCAAAATTATCAAGTGTTTTATGGCCTCCTGAGTCTATACAAGACTTGCATGACATTTTAATTTACTTATAAAATTTCATGAAATTTGGCATCTGTGGGTGTGCATGGAAATCTTTTTTCTCGCTCGCCCTTTACCTGGGGGATCATTGAATACTCAAGTACGACGAAATAAGTAAGGCAAGCAGCAGCTTGGCTCCTACTTCTCTGTCCTACTCATGGCCTCAGGGGTCAGTTAAGTAATTTGTTTGCAAGTCACTAGATTTGAGCTCATGCCGTTAAGTTGAAAAAAGTGTAAGAAAAATGAAAATTGCATCCAAAATTTTGTCACCCCCTAGCACTTTGGTATTATAGATCTGAAGTTGGGCTGGCGTCCTTTTAAAATATTTTTTTTTTTTTGCGCCCTTTAGAAACAACTTATTTGCTATCATACCTCTTCAGGTTATGAACAAAGCACAAGGGGATTTATTTTAGTGAGAACACTAGAAAATTCTGAGTGATTGATTATTAAAAGTCAAACTATTGAGATTTTATGAGTAGATGGAAAATTTCAAGGTGAAAGGGAATTTCCGTAAAAGTTGAAAATGTGTATCAGGATATTCAACTGTGAAGGAGATACTTAAATCACACTGGGCGACAATCTATATGATGAAATTTTCTGCACAATATTCTCAGTTTCAATTTTATTTTCTGGCTGATGCCTCACAATATCTATCAGTAACTTATTCTTTTGTTCTTTTGCAGGCCAAAAGTCAGAATGCATCTAGCACTAGTTCCAAACAGATGAAACTTGACTCTTTTTTTAACAAGAAGCACTCTCCAAATAAAGAGAATCTAAAAGACAACCAATCATCAATTGTAAGTTCAACTCCTTTTTTGTGCCTCTCTGACAAGCATGGAGATGAATCAGTAATTGACTCCAGCATAACAATATCAAAAGAGATCGCAAGTAAAAGTGAAGATTTGCACATAGCTAGGAAGGATAGCACAGAAGTAAGTGCTCTAAGAAATAAGAAACGAAAATCCAGTGGCCTATTGGATTTAAAGGACTTTTCTGAAGATGAATCTTTTGTTGAAAGTAGTTTGAAAGAGCCCAATGTCTCATGCCACTCGAAAACCAAGAAAATCAACTTAGACATTTCAACTAAGCGCGATGCTAGCATTAGTTTTCCTTGGAAAGACTTCAAAGAATCAAATGTTTCCAATAAGGAAACAACAATAGTAACTGACAAGAAACATTCAAAATTGAAGCACAATAAGTGTCTTGCAAGACAGCATAAGTCCGAACCAAAATCTTTTTCAACGCTTGACTCCAACTGCACCACCAGTGAGAGTCCCTCTAATCCTAATGTTTCAAATAGTCACAACAAAAAATCATCACAAAATGAACAAAATAAAAAATTTCAATCTCCAGAAATCAAGAAAAATATTCCGAAATCCTCTCCTAAAACAAATGGAAAAGATACACTCAGCTCTACTCCGATGAGAGGAAAAAAACCCAAACCTGATACTCCATATCCATGCTTAAAACCAGCTTCCAATATCACTAGTATTCTTTTTGAGTCAGTTAAAGACAGTAAGAGTCAATCACCAAACACTAAACAAAATGATACTCGCAGTTTGTCAGATTCATCCATTAAAAGTGTTATCAGTGGAAGTCCTCAAAATTCGAGTAAGAGCAAAAAAGAATCACCTCTTGCTACAAAAAATAAAAGCTTTCAATCGACAGAAAGTGATGGAAACATGCCTAAATCTACTCCTAAAAGGCGTGAAAAACCAGAGCACGATACTCCGTATCCGTCCTTGAGATCAGTCTCAAATATCACCAGTATTCTTTTTGAATCAGTGGAGAATGGCAAGATTCAGCCGAGAAATTCTGTAGCAGATGATGATTGCTGTTTGTCAAAATCTATCTCCCAAAGTGCATTACAATTTCAAATTGAAAGTGCTAACAAAAGCTCTCAACATTCAAATATCTCAAGTAATAGCAACAAGACATCACCTTTAAATGAAGGAAATGAAAGATTGCAATCACCAAAAAGTTGTAAAGACATTCCAAACCGTACTCCTGCAAGAAGAGAAAAAACGAAGCCTGATACTCCATATCCTTTCTTGAAACCAGCTTCAAATGTTACTAGCGTACTCTTCGAGACTACCAGTGACTGCAAGATCCAATCGGAAGATCCAAAATCTAGTAGCAACAGCTATTTGTCAGGTTCAAACATTGAAAGTGCATTAAAATCTCGAGCTCTTTTTTCAAAACTAAAAGTAAATTCCAAGTCAGCATCACCAAGTAGTCATGAAACTCCGAAACGAATTAGTACTGGCTCTTCCATCCAACATAAAAAAAATGAGCCCATCATGAGGAAAAGTATTCTAAATTCAAGTGAGCCTTTATTCGAAGACACACCTTTAAAATCCTGTCAAATCTCAATGAATGTCTGCAAAGCTGAAAGTGTATCTGAAAGCGAGTCTAGTCCCATGTTTATGGATTCTCAGTCTGAGCTGAACCGAAAAGGAAACAGTCTTACTAAGCAATCAGGAAATGATAGTTTATGGAGTGCTTCCTCTGGATACAATACCCGAGTTATGTTTGATAGTCCTGTTGAAACCAATTCTGCCACTAAATCGTTTTCAGACTCATCATTTCCAAGCATCATTTCCTGTACTGTTGGCAGTAGTGGCACTGTCTTTTTAACTCCACCAGATACTGCCAATTTTTCCAGCAATGTGGATGAAATGTCACCAAGGAAAAATCAGTGTGAATCGAAAAGTGCCGAAAACAATTTACTTGTCTCAGTCCCACAACACCCATGTTCAGCCGTCAAAACTCAAGTATCCAGGGTAGGGACAGAAGCTTTGGAAGCTACTTTAAATAGAAGTTGTGACTCTATTGTTGAAAGCTCTCAGCCTGATTCAGCAGCTACCAGTATGAAGGATAAGATGGCTGATGAAGTCCTCTGTGATGGTTTTGAGGAGGATTTAATATTCGATGATTGGGATTTCAGCTCACAAAATCTGAGCAAGTAAGTTGCTAGCTCTGACATATTTTTAATGTATTCCAAAAATTGCAAAGAGAGACAGGGTGTCTACAAGTCCGGAATTTCCGGAAATAGGACTGTTTTTTAAGGGTGGTACGGAAGTACTGAACAAGTGCGGAAATCCTGCAAAAAGGTCCGGAATTTTTGTCATTTTTGTCGCAATTTATGAGTGAAAAATTCAAATGTTTGAGATTTTTGGAATTTCGTCGATTGGAGGTGCTGAAAAAATACTGAATTTTCTCTGTTGAGGAGGTACTAAATTTCTTGGGAATGTACTGAAAAAGTACTTCAAAAGTACTGATTTTCGGCCAGCCTGTTTCAGTGGACACCCTGTCATTTCCTTATTTTGAGCCATGTAATCCTTGGGGTTAAGTTCATTTTAAAGAGGAGATAGATATCAACAGCAAAACTAAAAAATGTGCTTCTCGGTTGCAGATTTTTAAAATCTCTGCTCCTGGTCTATTTCTAAAAAAGAGACCGAACCAACATCATGACTTGAAATTTTCACTAAATATTCTTCACATAAAGAAGAAAAATCACCGAAATTTTCAAGAATTGACATTAAGTAGTTTTTAAAGTAGAAAATGAAGTATGGTTAAAAGTCTGCAACCCTGCAAACCGAGGTACGCATTTGTGCAGTTTCACCAGTTTTGCCCTGTGTATTCCTGCGAGTTGTTGCTTTTCCCTATTTCTTCAAGATGTATGCTTCCATAATTTTCGGAAGTGAAAATTTTCAAAAGTTTATTGCAATTAAATACAAGTAACATTTGTTTTCTTGTGTAAAAATTTATCAGACTGGGTATAAAAATTATTTTTTTTATTCTTTTTCTTGCTCCTTTCCTCATTCTGCAAAATGACTCAACCACAAAATGACTAATTAATTGTAGTATATTATATTGAAATAAGTAAATATACTCAGAAAGAAGAGGAGATTGGCAAATCTTGCATAATGAAAGAAAAAAGGAAGTCAAATGAAAATTTCTGAAAGTATAATTGAGCTAATTAGATTTTGTCTCTGTTGATTTTTTCTTTCCTGTTTTATTGCACCACATACATATGTAGCTATGAGGAAAATAGTTTGAACTGTACCATTTTAGGAACAATTGAGTTATCCATGCTCCCAATGTGCTTAAGAGTGGCCCTTTCATATACAAGAAAATTCAGCAGTGATATTTGATGTGAGATACAAGATGCAATACTTCAAGAACAGGGAATTAAATGTGCAGTAAATGCATCCTTAAGCAGTTTTTTTTTTTTTTTTTTTTTTTTTTTTTTTTTTTTTTTTTTTTGTGATAAGTAAGTCAAAACAGAAGAAATGTAGTTATGAATTTTCTGCTCCAAGCTATTGATGTATTTGGTGCAGATGAAAAGAGTTTCAAATTTTACCTGAGTACAAAATACATATCCATAATAATGATTTTTCAAAGAAAAAGAACTTACCAAGTATCTGACCTTGTGATAATAGGAAGCAATTTTCTTAAATTATAATGTTGTCGATAGCACTCATGATCTCAGAGTACCTTCCTTTTTAAAAATGTCGATGTATTTCAAACATTTTTACCTCATTTTTTTCAGACCATTGATGCTCGAAACGATGAAACGGTGCAAAATTACTGACATTCAGTCTTCAAATTGTGAAAAATCAATCAGTGTTCAGTTGTGCGAAGATGAGAGTGCTCAGACTGTTTGCAAGTTGAGAGAAGCCTGGTATCACACAAACTTGTCAGTCAGCAATATTGTAAATATTATGGCGGAATACAGGGAAAATGAGTGGATCATAGACAACACCAATGGACTTCTAATCCTTAGTCCTGATACTTTAATCTCTGGCACCACTCTCATGGGCTCCATGTTCTGTCGACGACGAGCGGTTCTTGCCAACTCCTTCCCGACTGTTGAAGCTGGTGCCAAATGTATGGTCATTGGTAGTTCTGTGCATCTGCTGCTTCAAAAAGTGAGTATAAACGAGAACCTTTCTCTTCACAGAATTCATATTGCACCCTTACGATACAATGTTTTTGTACAAAATGTCTAATCTCCCAGAACTCGCTTTGGGCTTTTTAAGTATCCAGTTATTTGATTAATCCTTTTGCAAATTAATCCATAGAATATACTTACCTTATATTCATTCTTTTTTTTAAAAAAAACCAAAGCTGATTCAGCAAAACACTTAATTTGTGTAATTGGAGATCTGTGTCTTAATGAACTACACAAGAAGCATTATTTTTTCTGAAGTGTAAGTTGGTAAAATTTTCATGACTCATTGAAGAAAAAATAGAATTATTCACACTAACAATTTTCTAATAATTGAATGCTCTTCTTGCTCCTTAGGTCCATTTTTCTCCGTAAGTAATGCGTTACTGTGGATGAGAATGATTACTTTCTGCTAAGTATTTCTAGCCTCACCTGCTGTCTCATCTCATTTTAAAATTTTAAGCAGACTTGTTGCTCCTTTGCTCTGATGTTACTGAGGAGGAAGACATTGCTCCAATACATCTTTGCTGAAAATGCTCTTTAGATGGATGAAATTGTTGTCGCACTCTCTCAGTCCTTTTCTCTTGTTAACCTATTTCACCAGATGTAGCTCAAGATAAATTTTCATCACTTTGACTATTTTTCTTCCCAAGTCTTTATCAAGATATACTTTGCAAGGTGTCACACGCCTCGGTTATAAGTTGCAGGATCCTCACCACATGCTCGCAGGCAAAGATGAATTTACGCAATGTTTTCATCTTAAATTAAGTTATTAGAAGTATCGGAAAAGTATTTGGGCGTGTTTATGCTAAAAAAAATTATTCATAAATGAATTATAGCACCAAGAACTGAGTAGCAGGCAAAACACTATATACGTAATTCCTTTTAATTTAATTTATTTTCACACAATTCCTTTTGGCATGAGTACGTTCAATTGTAGTATTTAGTACAGTATTGCAACGTTTGGTTACCCTTAAATTTTTAGAGAAAAACAGCTCTACTGTCATGAATAGTCTGTCTGTTGCTTTTATATTTTTGAGTCCTCAACCCTTAACTCTTGAGCTCTATCCAAACTGTGTAATATCTTCATGTTTTTAATTTAAATTGTTTCCCACCAGGTCATGCAGAATAATATCCGTTGTGTGAAAAAAATTCAGCAGATAATTGAAGAGATAGTCTCTGACCCAGGTTTAATTCATCAGCTTCTCTTGTCGGAAATGGAGTTTGAAGAAATGAAGAGAGAGCTTTCCAATTTTTCTCCAAACATTTTGGATTTTATGGAAACTTATGTTTTTCCTAAAAAGGGGTAAGATTCTAACATAATCTCTTTCAATCAGTGTTATTTATGTTATAATGTCAAAGTAGAGCATCTATTCAAATTATTAATTGCTGTTTGTCAATTTTGCTTGAATGTTTTTCTTGCACTCGTAAAAAGTTGCAGGGCAGGTTGTAGGACCGAGTTTAAATACACCTATGGTTTTATCAGAGAATATAGATGCCAAAAACAGCTTCATACACCTTCGGAACATTTATTTTCAGGCTTCAGCATTGCTATGTATGCTTCAATTCTATAGTCTCTCTCTCTCTCTCTCTCTCCCCCCCCCCCNAGTTTACAATGACGAAATTATGTACATTGACATAAAATCTGCGTTGTGCAGTTTCTTACAACTCCCTGTTTAGTTTTTTTTATCCATCATGAATACTTTGTATTCTCATTACAGGAGCAATTCAGGGAACATGTGGAATGGAAAAATCACCTCAATCAAAGACATTGAGGAGAATATATGGTCGCCTACGTTTGGAATGAAAGGCAAAGTGGACGTTACAGTGGAAGTGAATGCAGGTGGGCAGAAAAAAATTATGCCATTTGAATTGAAGACCGGTAAGAGTTCAAATTCAGCCGAACATCGAGGTCAGGTAATTCTGTACGTAATGATGATGGCTCAGCTTGGTTATGACACAGACTCAGGTCTCCTGTTCTATTTGAAGGATGGTCAGATGAAGGACGTCAAAGTTGACCACAAAGTGAAAAGGGACATCATGATGTTGCGCAACGATTTTGTCCACAATATCATGTCAAGTCAAAAGATTGCTTTTGATGAAGATGGATCAATAAGTGGGCCTATCTTACCAGGACCCATCAACCACCACAGTGCCTGTGCGAAGTGTCCTTATCTAACACTTTGTTGTGCTACATTAGCGGACAATGGAATGAGAGGTGTACACCCAAAAAACTCACTTACAAATTTAGCCACAACTGCTTTGGGCCATTTGAAGTCCTCACATATTTCATACGTTTTTCACTGGGCTGGCCTATTGAAAATAGAGGAGGCAGATAAAAAATCCAGGAATACTTCAGGTATGAAAGACTTATGGTGTCTAAGTGCAGAAAAAAGAGAAGAGACAGGCATGTGCGTAGCAAATTTGTCTCTATCCAAAGTAGACCATGTCGGTGATACATTTATCCATACTTTCAAGTTCCCAAATCCGAACATTTCCAATAATTTCACCACGGGAGACTATGTAATCATTAGCTCTAAGTCACGCCCGGCTGTAGTTACTGGAAGCATAGTGAGTACCTCTGAGCATGCAGTCTCAATCAGCTTAGATAAAGATCTCCGTTTGCGAGAGGAAAAAATATTTCACATGGACCGTTATGAATCGCAGACATTGTTGAACTTCAATATGTCAAGTTTGTGTGCATTACTGAATGATTCACCTAGAGCTGGCCAGTTACGTCAGGCAATAGTCGAACTAAAGTTACCTAGCTTCAACAATGTTTCTCCTGCTCTACCTTCTAATTTAACGAAGAAGCTAAATAATGGTCAAAAGAAAGCTGTAATGAGAGCTTTCCAGGCTGAATCTTATATGCTAATAGAGGGCATGCCTGGTTGTGGCAAAACTGAAACTCTAGCTTCTCTAGTCAAGCTCCTCGTTAAAAATGGCAAGAGTGTCCTAGTCACGAGTCATACTCACTCAGCCGTTGATAACTTGGCACTCAGGCTTCAAGATCTTGATTTATTGAGGCTTGGTAAGAAGGCCAAGATCAATCCGTCCTTGCACAGATTTTCTGAAGAGGTCCTACTGTCAAAATCTAAGTATAAAACAGTTGAGGATGTTAGACAGCTTTATTTGAGTAAATCTATCATTGCCGTGACCGTTCTGGGTTGCTCGCATCCTCTCTTTAGTTTTCGTAGGTTTGATGTATGTATTGTTGATGAGGCAACTCAGGTGTTGCAGCCGTCAACGCTTAAACCATTAATTGCTGCAGATAAGTTTATCTTAGTCGGTGATCCTTTGCAGTTACCCCCTCTTGTTCTCAGTGATTCTGCTAGATCTCTTGGGCTATCGGAAAGCCTTTTTGTTCGACTGAGTCGCCCTGCTGTAACAGTTATCCTCAACACGCAGTACCGAATGAACAGTCGGATCACATCAGTAGCCAACCAGTTTATGTATCAGGGGGCTCTAAAGTGTGCCAACGAATCAGTTGCAAATAACACCTTGAATCTTTCATCAGATGTTTCCGGCCCGTTGTGGTTGGAACGAGCGCTGTCTTGCAAATTGGAGCATTCAGTGGTTTTTGTCGATATCAGAGATTCGAATTCTGATGGTGAAGTCTTTGAAAGCCCCACTGAGGCTAAAGTTTTAATGATTGCTCTTGAATCAATGAGGAGCAAAGGTATATCGGATGAATCGATTGGTGTGATTGCAGCATACCGGGCACAAGTTAATCTCCTTTGTCGTTTGACGGAGGAGAGAAAATTTAAAATTGAGGTCAACACTATCGATCAGTACCAGGGAAGGGACAAAGATATTATTTTGTTTTCATGCTCGGCACGTGCAAGTGCTTCAGATGGAGGAATCCTTAGCAGTAAGCAGAGGTTATCAGTCGCAATCACGCGTTCAAAACAAAAGCTAATATTTTTTGGAAACTCAACTTTGCTGAAAACTTACAAGACGTTTGAACGAATTCTAGAATGTATTGGTGATGATTGTATCGTGAGGGCATAATTTCTAGTTTTCCCTCCTTTTAAAAGGTTTACAATTCCACTCCCAACATTTTTTAGTGAAATACTGCTCATAAAATGTAATTTTATCAAATTTTAGTGTATATTTGTCTATTTTATTCATATTCACTGTGCATTTTCATCCATCAACTAGATCTTGAGATAGATATCTTTTTTTATCTCTTATCTACTTTTCATCATTTTAATATTTAGATATTTTATCCTTGCATCCGCCTGTATGAGTGTGTTAGGAATATTAAATAATCTTTGAAGTTGTATTAGAGTTCAAGAAAATGAATATCAGATAGCTTCAGATTCTCTCGCAGGGTTGTGATCATTTGTTCCATTTTCTCAAAGAGAAACTACGAAATTCATCTCCTCTGCTATTTCCTCTGCATTATTGATGCTGAAAAGCAATCTAAAGTGTGAAGTAGATGTATTGTTACATTATTCAGGTCCTTGGCTAGCAACTCTTTTGTCATTATTCTTATCATTGTTCAGGTCCATTTTAACGAATCTACTGGCAATGCATACAGCAGCCTTTTGTTTGATTATCTCAGTTCTGATGAAAGCTGGGAATTTTTTTAGGTATTTTGATCTGCAATGGTTTCATTGGGTGATCATCTTGGCCGTCATGAATTTTCTTACGAAGTATAGGTTTGGCCTTGTTACCCTTTGAAACCATAAGTGATCAGGTGGATAATCTTAAATTTACATATCGATAATTGAGGCCAATTGCGTTTTTTGTATACTGTAAAATGGTATTTTATGTGTAAAATATGACAGGCGTTAGTTAATTAGTGTGAATATATTTACTGTTTAATTGTGATAGTCCTATAGTTAATCAGCTCAACTTTCTCTTCTTGATTCCCTTGTTTACACTGTTTAAAGATGGAGTATCTTTTTTTCTAAATCTACTGTCATCTTAATTATAAACCTACGCACACTGGTTCTAAAAATTTAATGTTTTTTCTCACAAAAGTGTAGTAAAATAAATTTTTCTTATGTTAGTAAAACCTAAATTTCTTTACCAGACTACGTATCTCGGTTTGCAACGTTGTAGACTTCCTTTATTTTTCAAATTGAAAACAAAGAAACATCAATTCTCGAAAACCTCTGTGTTTTTTCTTCTCTAAGAGAAGAAAACTACGTCCTATGTGAAAATTCCAAGAAATGATATTGATTTGTTCTCATTTAATTCAATAAAATGGGAGCGGAGATTTTCAAACATTGCAAACAAGATATGTGGTCTGGTGATTTCATCGACAATTTACCTTTTTTACCATCATCAGAAATAACTCGAAAATTTCTTGCAAAATGTTTCTCTTTACCAGAGCTGTATTTACCTACTTGCCGCCAATGGGCCGCCTGTATTTTTCCGCCCCCTTCTCATTTGTTTTGAAACATCAATAGATCGTATTCGACAGTGGTTTGATGTATCGTTTGGTTCAAAACAATAGAACATCACCACAAACAAAAATTTTAGGATTTAATTTGGAAAAGCTGAAAACGAGAAAATTCCTAACAATTTCACTTTTCATTGCCATTTGGTACTGGAGAGAATAAAAATTCGATCACATAAGACCCGTTACCTCAGATTTCTAAATTGACTTTTGAGGCTGTGGTTACATATTGAACCAATCGATATCAATATAATCTCACCTGTGTGATCTGTCGAATACTATCTATAAAAACCATCAAGTGAACGAGCCAGTGGGGGAGGGGTGTATGCAACGTGTTTTCTTGTGTTGGGCACATTTTTTGTGAAAGCCCTGTCAAAACTAACCAAAGTTCAGTTCCGTAAACCCATCCCTGTTTGGACAAGGGCTTCCATTTATAAAAAACGAACGAAAAAATTATGAAAGAACAAACATAAATGTGGTTAAAAATTTTAACTTCCACCGCCGTGCCGACCGCACCGTGTTGGCGCAATGCGTGAAGTATATTAATGCAGTCTTGTAGGCGCTGTGCGTTTCTAGCCGACTGCTGCTGACCGCAGTGTGTTTGACGCAATGCGTGAAGTATTCCTGCAGTCTTGTAGGCGCTATGCGTTTCACGCCAACCGCTCCTGACCGCACTGTCTTTTACGCAATGGGTGAAGTATTCATGCAGTCTTGCAGGCGCTAATATGTGTTACATGTCGACCGCCGCGCCGAGGGTTTCTCCTTTTCATCTCAAGTTCTCGTCATCATTCCTCTCTGCGCTGAGCTCCAGGTCAAATTGCGTGTTTAGTTCCTCTCTTAACTCGACTAATTAAAGATGCCGTCTCTTTGTATCACCGAAAACCAACAACATTAGAAATTACTATACTCACAGGAAAGAGAAATTTTGTCCCCTTTTCTCGTTGATAATTTTTTTTTTTTCTGAATCCGATTTTTTTTACACCTACATTTAAAAAAATTAAAATTTGCCGCCCCTTAAATTTGCCGCCATGGGCTGTGGCCCATGTGGCCACCCCCTTTTTCATAAGGATATTATTTTTATAGAGGAAAAAAAGCTTGATATATTAAGTAAGTATGAGATATTGTGGTCAGCAGAAATAAATCAAGCCACATCTGACATTGCCAAATTTAACTGGGAAATTTAATTTTTTATAAGAGGACGACTGTGAGGATATCCCTTCGAAAATTTTAAGGAATTGGCTTCGTTCTATGCAGAAAATTTAATGGACTTTTTCCAAACACTCGCTCAACTTAACAGTTTTCGCGCAAAAAATTAAATTTGGCAATATCTGATGTGGCTTGGTTCCTTTCTGCTTACTTAACTTAACCCGATCCAACTCATTACATATCTTGTTATTTGAAGGCGTTTATTTGTACGTGAAAAGAGCTTTCTGCGTCTCAAACTTTCAACGTTACCGAAGTTCAGGCCGGCCGCTCTTTGTATAATTTGCACTCCAACAGCGTAGGGAACGTGTCAAACGTGTGAGCAACGCTTTAGAAGAAGAGAATAGCGAAGCGACGGTGAAAAGACTGCAGTGCAGAAACTCGACTTCCTGTCATACTTTATTTTCAAACAAACAGCTGAAAACCACTTAAGTCTTTTTTTTGAAACTTCGATGATTTTTTTAGTGCTGTGCGGAATATCTCGTGAAAATGTTAAGACACGATCTGGCTCGGTCTTCGCTTAGAGAATGAAATAGGAGCGGCGATTTTAAGACACCGCCAAGATACGCATTTTTGAAGTTGCACTATTCTTGTCTTGTAACTGGAGTAACTGAACTGTGCTCTATCTGGGTTACACGTAACAAAAATTGCCGTGCAGCATATTGAAGGCGAATTGCAAGTCATTTGTAAATGTGGACCTTTTATACTATTAATACTCAAGAAATGAAGTAGGTATCTTTCCATTCGAGTACGGAGAGCGATAGCTAAAAATTCGTCTTTGCCATGGACCCATAGCATAAACAATTCAGTAAAATGTGATGATTATTTAGATCAAATAACCAAAATAAATTCATTTCATTTGTTGCTCTGCCGGCAACAGTGGTTTTGAATTTGAAAATATAAACATAACCTCTATCCTATCTTCTGTCACCGGCTAAAATTCCGCCTGTATTTTTTCTCAGTGCTTTTATTTGAATTCTATGAATTGAGCTTCCTTTTAATATCTATTCCAATTGCTCTGCATTTTTTCATTTTTTTTGCTGATCCAAACTTTTCAATCACATACTTTAAGCCTAACAGAAAATATTGAGACAGGGACCTGAGCAAACATCTAACAACTGTGGAGTCCTAATTTCAGGCTTGTTAGTTGAAAAATCAGCCTGTTCAATTCGTAAGGTGGTGCTCAAATAGTGCAGTATTGTGTCATAGCTCGTATTTCCAGTAGATCATGTCATCAAGTATCCCAGACAAAATTTGGCAACCCAAATTTGCTATCTTGGAAACATCGTAAGCTGAAATTTGACATCTCTTTTTCTTTCTGTGGGCCTACATTTTTATTAACCATAGAGTATTTTGCAGGCACCCAGTATTTCGTGCAGAAATGTTTAGTATTGAAGAATTTCATGTAGCTGCGTAACTAACGAGATTGTACATGTCACAGTCTTAGCCAGAATCAAAGGGAGGAAGGCATTTTTGCCACAACCAGGCGTGCCCTCTATTAGCATATAAGATTCAGCCTGGAAAGCTCTCATTACAGCTTTCTTTTGACCATTATTTAGCGTCTTTGTTAAACTAGCGGGTAGAGCAGGAGAAACATTGTTGAAGCTAGGCAACTTCAGTTCGACTATTGTCTGACATAACTCACTAGCTCGGGGTGAATCATTCAGTAATGCACACAAACTCGACATATTAAAGTTCAACAATGTCTGGGATTGATAATGGTCCATGTGAAATTTTTTTTCTCTTGCAAATGGAGATCTTTATCTAAGCTGATTGGGACTGCATGCTCAGAGATACTCACTATACTTCTGAAAGTATGAATTTATGTATCACTGACATGGTCTACTTTGGATAGAGACAAATTTGCTTCGCACATGCCTGTCTCTTCTCTTTTCTCTGCACTTAGACACCATAAGTCTTTAATACCTGAAGTATTCCTGGATTTTTTATCTGCCTCCGCTTTTTTTAATAGGCCAGCCCAGTGAAAAACGTATGAAATATGTGAGGAGATTAACTTGTGCCCGGTATACTGCTATCACACCAATTGGTTCATCCGATACACCTTTGCTCCTCATTGATTCAAGAGCAGCCATTTACTTTGACGTATAACAGTGTCCTACAGAATATTGATAGAGGTGTCGTCAGATAAGCTGGCAGTTGTTTACTTTCCGTTGCAAGTGACTGCATTGGAGTCGTTTAATAGCCATCAAGGAGGTCAAGGCTAAAGTCATAGCTGTGGGCAACTTCGATGCTGCGCGCAGAAATAGAAATCGGTCTAGTGCTTGTGACAGTCAAAAGTAAACAACTGCCAACCTATCTGACGATACCTCCACCTCTTTTCACAACACTGATTTTCAGCCAAAGCATTACCGCTGTCGGAAGTACACAAAGGGTACATTACTAACTTGATAGTATGCAGATTAAGTCCTTAATTTCTCTAATTTTTTTTTCGAAACAGGATGGGAGAAATAGTCATTGAATTGTACTGGAAGCATGCACCAAACACATGTCGCAACTTTGCTGAGCTCGCGCGAAGAGGGTACTACAATGGAACCAAATTTCACAGGATAATCAGAGATTTCATGATTCAAGGTAAGCATAGAATGTTTTTCTTTAAAATCAGAGATTCAAGAAATACTTACTTTGTTTTAATTGAAATGTTGCAAAGTTCTAGTTGACTTCCAAGAATATTTGGAAGTATACTTACCCAATACAAGGGTCACACAGGCGCCTGCATGCAGAAATATTTGTGTCAATCACCTATGGCTGACATGTCCATAGTTCAAATTAATGATAATTTTTAAAATTGTGTGAACACTTAATGCAACTGTTAAAAACTATGTGAGATGTTCTGAGAAGTTTAAGAGATTATTATTAATCAACATTTTTTGTCTTTTCATTTGTTGGGATTCCTTCTATCAGATACTGATGACTATGTTTTCACCAGCATACTGATCCATTTCATCAAAGAAGCATTTTCATTTTTCTTTTCCTTTCTTCTCTTTTTTGCGTGTCGTCTAGGTAGGTACAGATCCTTCGTCATAATTTTGTGCTTTTGTACTTTTTTGTCATAATTGTGTACTTTTTTTCATTTTTTGTCTTTTCCCTATGCTGACTTGTAACGCAGCCCCTCAAAGCTTTCGTGTACCATTGAATACTTGATTTATTTATTTATCTCTATCTCAGCTTATCCTAAATTAGGTTTTTTGTAAGAAATCAAATTATCTGTTTCAGGAGGTGACCCCACTGGCACAGGCAAAGGTGGGCAATCTATTTATGGAAAACATTTTGATGATGAAATCCATGAAGATCTCAGACATACAGGTAAATTAATATTCTGTAGTTTTTTGTTTTTTAGAAGCAACTATATTGCCTTCAATTTTTCAATACTTAGTGCTCATTTGAGCTGTACATATCCATTTTAAATGATGCTCAAAAGTCAGTTTTAGAGTATTTTTTTCTCTCTAAAGGCGTACTATGATGAACAAAAGAGGAGGGCTCTGGAAGGAGAGCCCATAAAACATGAGAGAGTTTGTCTCTTCAATCTATCATATCTCCTCAAGCAGATAGGAATGTTTTATTTCACTGCACTAAATTAGTTCTGATTTTTCTGTAGGTGCTGGTATACTATCAATGGCAAACTCTGGGCCTAACACAAATGGATCTCAGTTCTTCATCACATTGGCACCAACTCAGTGGCTTGACAAAAAACATACAATTTTCGGTAACTTGTTTAATGAAAATATTTTGTGTATATTATGTGTATTCTTAATTAAGTACCATGAATGATATGAAAGAGAACAAAGGAGCAGAGCTATGTCTCCCACTATAAAGGTACATATACAAAGAAGGATGGAACAGGAAAAGGAATCCAAAAAGTAAAAATATTACAAATTAAAGGCTGAGGCCGTGGCTGAGAGTGAAGAAAATTCACGATGATACTTGAGAATAAATTCGCATTGTTTCTTAATCAAACAAAAAAATTGTCAAGTGAAAGTTCGAAGTCAATTTTTTTTTAACAGGAAAAAGAAAAACGTTTCAAGTGCCCAAATTGAACAAAGGAACACAAAAATGTATTAAAATACTGAGTTGCCTACATCTTCTAATTTGAAGTTCCTTTACACCCCCCCCCCCCCCCCCCTGTACGCCCCACTTTTGGGCGCATACTTTTGCCCCATTCTGGCTGCGTATTCTTGCCCCATTTGTAAACATTGAACAGTATAAAACAAAACTTTGAGCCCAAGGCCTGAGGTGTGAAAACAACTATGGATTATTAAAGCCAACACTATAACACTTTGATATGATGCCTGTCCGATTTTTTCAATCAACTATTCTACTCACAATAGACAATACAAATACTAAAAAAATTGATCTTTTTCGCATGAAAAGTGAACTTGCCTTATAATTCCGTCAACACACATCCGCTTCGCACAAAACTTCGTCAACAAGTGGAACTCAGTGTTGCCAACAACCAACACCCGGTGCCATCATAAATTCTAACAAAGCGTGCGAAAAAAGTAAGGTGCGTATTTTAACCCCGTGCGTAATCTTACCCCCACCTACCCTAGAGTGATTCAGTTCCTACCTTGTTTAGTGCCCCATTGCCACAATGAGTTGTTCAACCAAAGTTTATTTAAACTGATTAGATACAGCTAGGTAAGAAACTCCAAAGACTTGCTACTAAGTTTGTTGATTGTGGTGATCGATTTTGAGGAAGTCAGAATTAATTGCCAATTCGACGTTGCAGTAATCAATCGCCTAGAAAAGACAGTGCACACCAGGCCTATAACTCTTCATGTTTTTCTAGTTTGAGGCTGTATCTAAATTCTCTAACTCAAGTCATGTTATAGGAGCCAAAGTCTCTGATTTTGTGAGTTTACCTCAGTTTCATCAATGTTATGTCAAGTTTTATTATCTCTGTTATATATTCTTTTTTTTAAGCCTGTTTTCTGTTTACAGGACGTGTCCACTCAGGAATGAATGTTGTCAAAAGAATAGGGCTTGTTGAAACGGATAAAAATGAACGGCCAGTAGATGATATCAAAATCACTCGTTCACTGATCAGGTCGCATTGAGGTCGCCGACTGTGGTTTATGTGATTTAATTTTCAATATGTGATGATCAACGACTCACTGTAGGCTCAGTCTATTGTGGATTTTATTCACTAATGAGAGGTTACAATTTCAAAAAGTCATTTCATATATTTCCTTACAGTGTGCAAAACAGTTCAATGCATCTAACTGCATGTCAGTCCAATTGTAAATAATTTAATTTTTTTACCAATAAATCGATAGATTTTTATATTTATAGTCACAAATTTTTATCGAGCAGCCCCAGACAATGGTAACAGTAGAAAAAACAAGGGAGGAAAAACGGGAAACAAGGCTACAATACACAATGATGAAAACCTAGACGTTTCGACTCAAAACTGAATCATTTTCAGTCGGAAATGTTACAATAAAAAATTTTAAAAAACGATGAAAAATCTGAGTCCTATCTGGTGGTGGCTGGGAGAAAAAAAATGATTTTTTTTTTCTCAGATCCCGGCCACCACCAGGTAGGACGTAGATTTTTCATCGTTTTTTTAGTGTATTTTCCGAAGAAAATACACTATTTTTTAAATTTTTTGTTGTAACATTTCCGACTGAAAATGACTCAGTTTTGAGTCGAAACGTCTCTGTTTTTTTCATTGTGTATTTTAGCCTTGTTTCCCGTTTTTCCTCCTTTCTACTGTTTTTGGACATTTGACCTATCACCATTATGTCTAGTGGTTTATTAGACCTCCTAAAGATGTTCATGAGTCAAATCAAATTTACAAAACAAAAACGATTGGATTTTGTGGAACTCATGGTACAGTAATTGCTCTTTCTATAATAGTCATCACCTAATTTTTAATTTAAGATTGGTAGTCATTTCTTAAAAAATAATTACACAGTGCTCTAAAAAATTCATGAGCTTTATTAGGTAGAAAAGTTATTTAAATACTTACAAAACTTAATCACTAATAGTTGCCTAGATCTAAGTATAAATTAATGCAACTTTGTAGTGGAAAACATAAAGTTTTTAAAAATAATTTATGGATATGTACAACATTATACAATATCTTTCAGGAACAATTGTACTAAATTTAAAACAGGAACGTCGAAAACTTTACAAATTCAACAAATATGTTCTCAGAAATCAATAACATGTTCTGCTATGAAGAGCTTGACTGTTGAGAGGAACCAAGGTACTTGAGTATTCCAGTTTGTTTCCTATTGACATTGTCTGCTTTCAAAAATGGCTGTCTCAGGGCTTTATGGAGCCGCGCTGCCTTCTGTGGTCCAAATCCAGGACATAAGCTGAGCGCATCTTGCGAGGCTCGTATGATTCCACTTAGTGAACCAAAAGTGTCCAACAAAGTTGCAGCGTCACTTTTATTGACTGAACGTACTGTTGTTAATGCGCTTGTGATCTGGAAAAAAGAAAAGAAATAGTATTGCACTTGAAAACAGGTCGAATTGTTTTTACAATGAAAAGAAGACAAATATAATTACAAGTTTCTCTCTTGCTTTTCAAAGAGGTCACAAACTCCAAAAAACCCCTTTTCATAATACAGAAGTGGTATGATGTCTTTATTTTTTTTTCTAGTAGCATGTGAACTGTTTCAGTGGTGCCGCTACAAAACTAAGTTGCAGATTTTGTCATATTTACTAACGGAGTGGATGACATCATCGTTGCAGAAAATGTTGTGCAATCTTTGTCACTTCTCTCAAGAGTATTTTCTGAATGGCTAGTGGAAAATGTCCAAAGATACTTCTTAAGGTATATAAGAGGGGACTCAGAGCAAACTGGACGACCAGAGATAGGTGAAATGTTCGCAAGAATGGATCTTCCTAAACCACTGCCAGTTGCTGAAAATGATAATTTTCAATTAGAAAAAAGAAGTTAAACTCAAGCTTTGCAGCCTCTTTGAAAAAAACTAAAATTACTTAGATAGGTCTATTTTATTTTGATCTCTAAGAGGAGGAATACCTTTATATGGGGGTCTGTTTCTGCTTTCTCCATGATCAAGTCGGGAGGCTTGTGCTCAAATATTTTGTAAGTTTCAATTATTTTTCCTGCCTCCTCTGGAGTCCATGCCAACATTAGAGTCAGATCTGTTAGCAGACAGACGCGCGTTAAGTGTTTCAATGCGTGGTGAGGGTCTTTCATATCCACCTATAATTGAAAAAATTGTGTAGATAGAAAACATTAAAAATACTGATCGAAAGTGGCCACCAAAAGAAAAGGGCCTTCAAATTAAAAAATAGAAAACATTGCGATAAGAAAACTAGTTTATCGGACAGCTAGTTATAGTAATTTTAAGATCAAGAGCTAAAAAATTAATGAGGATTTTCAAAGTTGTAGGACCAAAGAAATTTTTGACAAAAGAACGCTTAAGGTTTTGATAGGCTGAATCGAATTGCCTAAAATTTCATACTTTACAGATATGTAGGTTGATACAGAGAATTCTGAGACGACAAACATACTAAAAAATTTTGTAGATGGCATTGAACATACCAATTATTGTTTTCTATAGAAAATGAAAACTTTGTACTTATTTTTTTTTTTTTTTTTTATCTAATTCAATTTTTTTTTTTTTTTTGGTCAGCCATTGCTTTACAAAGGTTTCTTTCTGAAGAAAAGCAAGAAGAGTACTCATTGATATTTTGCAAGGGTGCAGAAGGATTTTTTGAGCAAAAATTAATTGTAATCGCACCCTCGAAATTTCCTCTTCCTTAAAGAACTTTCCTCACTCTGCAAAAAGGTCACAATTACGCAGTGAGCCAAAAAACTTGAAAAATCAACAAATTTTTCTGTTTTTTCTCAACTATTGCTGAAAGGAAACATACAAAGTTTTTGTTTTTTAATTTTCTAAAGCTAAAGGGCTCCCAGGCTCTGACATATTCTGCATCCCTGGTATTTTGGTGTTGAGAACTACTGATGGCCTTACCTGAACAAGCAAAACTCTAAGTTCGTAAAGTTTGCCAAGTTGTTTGATCCTTTCATTGATGTAGTCTGGCTTGAGATTATGATATCTGAGAGAAAGAAACAGAGCGCAAGACGTTTTGCCCATGACGTAATCAGGGATAATACCATCATTAAACTCCCATGGAACATTGCAGATGGATTTGAGGATTGGATTCCCTCGCTGAAAACAAAATTATATAAAGTTGTAGAGGCTAAATACATAATGCGAATGGTTCAAGTCTCTGGGTGCTGAGATGTTGAAATGCCCTGTTGTAATGGTGGATAAAAACAGTTGTATGCATATCATTCTCAAGAAAAGTAGTTTAAGGGAGGTTTCGAAGTGACTAATCCAAGACAGTTAGGGACTACAATTACTCTGAATTATTCTCAGGGCTGGGACTGTAGCATTTTTAAATCCTGAGCAAGTATGCATGCGCACAAAAGGCAGAGGGCCACTGGCGACTGTGCTTTCTTCTCGCAACTGTCAAACAGAATGTACATGTGACCAACATACATTTAAATGGACAAAAACCAGTGTTGCCAACTTGAGAGAATCATCACTGGACAACCTGCAAGGGACTTTGAGCCACAAGTGTTAGTGTTGCCACTGTGTATTAACAGCATGGTCCACAGGTGGGCATGCTGATTTCATCCCAAGTCTACCATCAACAAGCTCCCGGACACGGTGACAAGTGTTATCCTCAAATAGCCTTGAGTGACCAATTTTGCACAAATTCTTATATATGCTTACTTGTCCTGAGAATTAAGCTCCACCCGTCTTTGGGGGAAAAAATAATTGAGAATAATTGGGGATGAAAAGTTTTTACCTACCATGAACTAAATAAAGAGTAGACGGCTAGTTATGAGAATTTTTCTGATGAATAGAACAGAGTAATTGATTCCTTTCATGTTAAGTGTAGGCAATTACCTACATTTGTGACAACTAAAATTTCTTGGTGCCCGAGGAAATAAATGACCAAGTAAGAATCACCTCACCTGTTTTGGGTTCACCAGAACTGCGTGACCACTGCTTCCAGAGCTACTACCACTTTTGGGTGCTTCACTGCTTGTGCTGCCACCCGATTTTTCATTTTCAGCAATTGTTTTCCGATACGAATCGGAGTCCTTCAGTTTTTTGAAGGCAGCTAAAACAAACACCAAGTAAGGAGTGTTTATTAAAAATTAAGTAGAATAGAAGAAATTGATAGGACAATGAGGGGGGGGGGATTCTACATGGGTTCTTTCTTATCAGAGCGTTTCTGAACTATCCATTGTCCAGCCACTTCCATAAACATTCAGGACTGAGGACTTTTTTGAGTGCTAGATTTGAATATTGCAAATAATAAGATCTTGAGAATGTGCCAGGCAAGTCACTTCCTATCACTTTCAAAATATGCCGATATTTTTTACCTCAACGAAGCAATGTATCGCAAGCCAGTACGAACATGTCACTTAAGCTTGACGAATCACCGTAAAGCAAGTCTTTCACCTTTTGTTGTTTCAGGGAAAATAGGGAAACATTTTGATTAATCTCTTACCTGAAAATTCAGAAGCCATGTAACTAATTCTTTCTGAAGTAACTTAAAATAATGATTGATCAGACAGTTGAGGAGTCTCTGTCCACGACACAGTGAAGATTCCGTTTGATATGTAGGTAGACTGCTCTAATAACTGGACACACAATGCAAACTAGTTAAACTTTTCAAGGGAAGATTAAAGCGAACTGCAATAAAAAAAATTAAAAGAATTTTATATCAATAGTGTGAAATATTTCAGTGAACACCGATAGATAAAAGAAACACACATGGGTCATCATGGGTGCTGATAAGGGGAATGGAATAATAACAACAGGGTTGTTAAGGATTCAAACTGAAAATTGCTCAACTTTCTGCTGGGAAAAAACTCAAAAAGATTACGTAACAGAATGGTTGGAAATCGTAAAAATAAAATTTTTGGTGAGTAATTTTTGCAGTTTGTTACAATTATTAGATGTTTCGCCTTTTTTCTCCTCTCGGTTGTGAACAAAGATGTTGTGAATTTTCGATTTGTCACTTGATCCAGACTGCACTGTCAGTATTTTGTCATTGGCCAATTAGAAAGAAGGAAAGTTCTGCTGTTAAAGGCGCAAAAATTCAAAAATATAATGCGTGCATTGCATCGAGTACACGACGCGAGTTGTAAGGAGGAAGAGAGAAACCATATACAAGTATCTGCGGCTCTGGCCAAAATTCAAGAAATGCCACAATCTCCTTGTAGCACTCTACGCCCAGTCATCCCAGTAATAAGAGAAATTTTAATTTTAGATTTTCACCGAAAAACCTTTCAAAGATGAAACTGCTTTTAAGTTACCTGCTTGTTAGTTTTATTGATGTCTTCCTGGTGAGGGAAGTTCAAAATATATCCTTATGTTTCCAAAAAAAAAAAAAAAAAACATTCAGAACAAACTTAACTCAATTACTTATAGATTCGTATCTTGACCCTTTCAATACCTAAAAATCTATTCTATATTGGACCATGGTTCTGATTACACAATAATGTAATATGGTACCTATAGCTTTACATAGAGTTCACACCAAAGAGGTTTTGCTCACTGGGGTGCATCAGAGAATCTGCTGTCTTCATTTTAGTACATTTTAGCATTGAAAGTAATACAAAACTCAAAATGATGTGTTCAAATCTGAAAGTGGGTAAACTTACTTCATAGGGAATCTCAGATATTAACCAACTTAGAGCCATGAAAATTATCAAAAGTAGATGAAGGAGTTGAATATTACTTTCGGGGCATTGGGACAAAAAAGTTGGATTGTCTTGAAATAAAAAATTATCACCCTACATGATAAGGCGGTATTTATTGTTGCTGCGATAGATTTCTGAAACAATAAATATTAATCTTATTCAGCAAACAAGTTGAAATAGGCAGATAAATTGCCTTCACCCTACCCTCAATGTAACGAAAAAAAGAGAGAAAAAAAAAAGAAAAAAAATTAGGAAAGACTTGTTAAAAATATATATCAATAAAATACACGATTTAGGAAACCCTTCTTAATTTGTTTACAAACTTTTATAACTTTGGTTCATATTTTGCTGAAGTATTGGTGAGTATTTTGGGTAAGTTGCAAAGTTTGCATTTTAAATCACTTAACTTTAAGTGTGTGAGAAAGTACAGAAAAAAGGTTTCAAATTTAAAATCCAACTGGTTACAGTCATTACAAGTGAGGAGACCTGGCTAAAGCTCTAAGTTGGCAGTTTCCAGGATGGTGCTTACGGTCACCTAATCCATACTTACTTGGAACAGAATTACTATCTGAATTTAAGTTGGAATTGAGGAATCAAATGAAGACAATATTCAGGTCATTTTCTAATAATTTCGGATGATCTTCTATTAGTGCTGAGCAGCCAATGGTCCTTTCTATCTATCGATATGGGGAACTTATTCATGCAGGCTATAAAAAACCTTCCCAATGAAAAGGTCATGACGGGATGAGAGAAAAAATGTTGAAAGTCAATGATTTTAAATAAAGATTTCTTCCTTATATTTATTATAATTTTCTTTTAAAACTTCATTACTTAAATTAAGCACGCTTTGCCATGGTATGTCGTTTTTTTGTTGTTAACATTATTTCCTTTGCAGTATGTTCAAGGTTTACGTCTGCTAGTTTCCTCTCAAGATGAGGGATTTTTTCCTGACAATCAGCAATTTTCGCACTAAGAGCTTCCATTTCTGAAATTATGCTTGCATACTCTAGTATACTGCAACTACCATCTGTTTCACAATGACACAATGATTCAATTTGTTTAACAGTATTATTTACAAGCTGCAACAGCTCCCTGATGTCTTCCTCACTTTTAGGAAGGATGATATTTTTAACCTTTAAATTGCAGTTACTTCCTTCCAAAGCATGAGATAGATTTTCTATGAAATTAACATTAATTTTTTTCAGTATGGGGAAACACTGGTCACATTTCTTTTCAGCCATTTCCAGATCATCTATTTTTCCTTTGATCTCTTGAAGCTGAGATAAACGGCTCCTAACAGCTTCCAAATTTCTCTTCACTAAAAGTAGCTCTTCCTCTAAAGGGGCTATGCGACTGAGAGCCTCCGCTTTCCTCTTCTCTTGTTCCACCTCCGCCAAAACTTTCCGTGCTAGAGCCTGGATGAATTTTATGTGTTGCAGATCCGCTTCTGATAACTTGTCATTGTCAGATTTTTCTGCCATTGGAGGTTTGGAAGAGGTTGCTCCTCCTTCCGTCTTAACAGAAATATTCGGCATTGACAAACTTCTGCGCCTCTGAAAGCCTCCTGATTTCTTGATCATAGCTGGAATTGAAGAGAAAAAAATTAAAATTTGATTTTCAACGACATACTTAAATAAATGCGATGTTGAAAGATTCAAGAATTGTGCAAAACAACAATAAAACAGGAAATTTACAACTAAAAAAGCTGATAAAAGGATTTATTTTCTTTGTCTACGAGAATGGGTATTCAAAGAAAATTTTCAGCTTAAAAATTGGTTGATTCTCAAAAAAACCAAATTGAAGCAACAATTCTAGGACAAAGTAATGTCCACTTCAAATAAATTTACTTACACACTCAAAGGGTGCGACAGAAGATCATCAGTCTACAGTTCAGCATTGTGGAAGCAAGAGTAAAGATGGTGGATCTCTTCTTGTACTTCGGAGGAGCATATCTTATTTGGCATGGACTCTAATGAAGACACAAAACTTCAATACTATTGATATTAACACATAGCTGCCTTAGAATAGTTCACAACTCCTTGGTAATTGCTTACTCTCAGGGGCCTTACTCTATTGGGATATTACCTTTAGAAACTTGCGGTACATTTCCTGAGGAACATAAAATGAGCAAAAAAACCTGGCGCAATTTATTAGAACCCACTAACGGAAAAAATTTCCATGAATCCCCCTACTGATAGTACACTTTCATTCTAGACTGATCTTTATTATTGCTGTCACATGGTGCCGAGGACAAAGAAATGAGGCAATATGGCTTGAGGATGAGGAATTGATTACCTCACTGTTTCTTTTTTAGATTGACATGATGGCAATGTGTCTTTGTGTGTGGGTGACAAATTATTAGTGTTTTCCTTTGTCCGTATCAACGGTGTAAGTCGGCAGTCACATAACTTGGTTTACGTCGCGGCAGACTTCCTGCCATACTTAATTTTTAAAATGAAAAACTACTCAACGGCAATTTTTTAGAACTGCCATGATTTTTCTTCTCTGTGCGAAGAAAATTCTGCATTACTTAACTTCAAGGAATGATGTCAATTTGTTCTCCTTTAAAAAAATAAGATAGAGGCGGAGATTTTCAGGCACCGCAAACGAGCTGAGTGATTACCAACTTACACCGTCAATATGTAATGATGAAGGGACATAAAAAATGCTAGGATACTGACCTGAGCTCGGTGCTGATGCGAGTTGAAAGCGGTAGTGACAGGTAAAATCTACAAAGTGAGAAAAATTCAACGTATCAGCCCACTTCCTTGGAGTGCATCCAAATCCTTATCTCTCTGACTGATAGTAAGTGAGGAAGACAATTGTTTTGTTATAGAAAAACCTGATTTAATGATAACACTATCAAGCACAAGAAGTTGGGTTGTTGAAGGTGGTCAGGGCGGTTGAATAGATAGGGAAAAGCTAAACAACCGGTAATGTTTATTTCGATGATTACTTATGACGCACTTACACTTATATCTTGATAACTAATGCATGGCCGTGCATTAAAAAAAATTGAAATTAGAAAAATGTTGACAGACAACTGATTAGAATTAGAATGTGAAATGTGACCAAATATTTTTGAAGGTACTTGGTGAAGTGGTTCGGAGGTGCAAACCTTACATTAAATTTCTGCACCAAAAATCCAGGGTCACGACTAATATTTTACAAGGCCACAAGGCGTAATAACTCCAGTCTTAAAAATTTCATTTCAGAAAGAATTTATCAGGGTCTTAGATAAATATTCCAGATTATTAGACTCATTTTATTCATACTGAAAACACTGAACTCGTCCTCATGGAAACTAACATGGTGAACAATTTTTCACAGGTTGCCATCATGGACGGTAAGGTAAATAGAAAACAACAATGGCGGTCGTGTGATTATGAAGTTCCGAGTGAAGTTACAATACCCGTGATATTAAATTAATTTCGATCGGTATTTTAAGAAAGTTCAAGTATGTGTCGAAGTGCTCACCCCTAAGTTCACAATCTTGGCCTCATGGGCCTCCCAAGAAGACTGCTGGAAAATAAGACTGAACACATCGTTGACAGCAAAGACTGATAGTGAGAAGGTTAAACCTGTAAGTGAAAGTAATCCTTTATTTCAATGTTTTAAATTTTAGTCAATGGCCTTTACATTAAAGACTTCCAGCCCTCACCGTAGAAATGAAGTATTTTCCTTTTTATCCCTACTTGGATATTATGCAGAAACATTTCAGAGCAGGCTTTAATTGCCCCAGCTAAATCGCTGAATTTATGTTAGAATGTTGAGTTAAGAGTTGCCGCCTTGCACCTAGGCTGAAGGTAACACTGATTAAAAAGATTTCTCATCTCAACCTACATTGGTACTCCCTCATGTGTGAAATTATGATCTTTTATGGACTACGGGTGCTCTTTATTTTCAATGTATTCCACCGTCAAGTGATAGATTGCTCCAGATAACGAGCATACCCTTTTCATTTTTTGGCGGCGACGTTAGAAACTTTTTCCATGTAAGGGAAGGGTAAAAAAATTCAGTACATCATACCAATTCTATGTACATTAAGCATTGCGCCCCTACTCCAATGTCTTAAGCTGTTGTAACTTAGCTGGATCAAGCGGTATTGATTGTATGCACCTGCTCATTTACAAGTTGCTCCAAAACTATGTTCACCTAAAGATCATAGTCTCAATTTTCTTGCATGTGCTTTAAGAGTGATAGGAGCAACAAACCTTTGAATTTTTAAATTTATTTTGCTAAGTCACATTTCCAGAAATTATTAAGAAACAATGATAGATAGATACCTAGCCCAAGTTTTAAAACGTTAGACATTTCATTCAGTAGATTTTATTGATAGTAGGTTGCCTAGCAGATCCTAGCATTTAGAATAATTTCAGACAGCAAGAGGTGTTATCTGATTTGGGAGTGCACATGGTTACAGAGGGAAATGTAAGGCAGTCTACAACCTAAAATCGTTAATCAACAATTTTCACGAACCTCAAGGAAACTAAACATATACTTAACTAAGAAATTAGATCCTTCTGAAAGATAACAATGATTCCCCATCTCTTACAAGAGAGTGAGAGGGTGGAAGGAAAGTTACGAAAGAAAAAATATTACAGGTTTTTGCCAATTATTCGAGAGGTCCCATGCCTAACGTAAAGTTAGTCTAAATCAGGATCCCCCCCTCCCACTCTTCCATTTTTATTACCCTTTCTCCCCTGGTTTTGATTGCAAGACTCTATTACCGAGGTTAACCTAAATTGACACCAAGAAAACCTAACTTGACTCCCACGTATCCACTATTGGCCCACTTGGGTCTGAAATACTGACCCCTAAGGTGTGAGATAGAGTTTCGCTCAGGTTCCCCTGATACTTAAGCTCGGAAAAAAAAATTTGTGTGGGTAATTGACCCCAATGATACCAAAGATAACAGTCTTGAAGCCCCCCGAGCAAATTCTGGGTAGCAAAGGGACCCTGAGCTTGAAAATTTAACCAGTTTATACTGCCTCTGCCCCTCTAGAGAAACCCCGGGAATTTATGGCACTGTCAAATCAGGATTTCTTAGAGTTGATTTTACATGGAAACATTTTTTTCTAAGCCTAAGCGTAAATTCTCTGGTGAACCAGCATTTTGTGGAGGGGAACTCTGTACCCCACTCATGGAAATCAGTATTTCGGGGCCGGCTTTAGATTTCTTGGTGTCAATTTTGGTTAAAAATTTCTGTACCCTCTGGTATCGATGCCAAAATTTTAAAAGTCTGATGTATACCTCGAATTTCAAAGTAAGGCCCCCTTTTACCCATCAAAGGGGGTCGTGCGGCCTCGGGACAGCAAAATTTAGATTTTTTTCTGGGGATGGATTCCCCTTCCATCTCCGCAGTTTCCGACCTCTTACGACCGAGAGGTCGAAAGTTCCAGGTGCTGGGGCCGTAGCTTCGATTGCCCCGGGTGGCAAGCCCGGTACTTTCGGACCCTGAGCCCGGAACGCGGACGTTATGTCTGTATAACCCGTAAGTTCGGCTTGCACGGCCGGCGTTTTTTTCATTGTACGGTGGAAGAAGTCTGGCACAGGTGGTCGAGATCGACACTCTGCAAGTGAACTATGTGGGAACTTCCAAAAAAAGTAGCTGATCAAGGTGAATCCAAGTGGATTACATTTTGCAATAAGGAACCACTATTTCTGGCTCATTTTAGAAACAGCACGGAAGAGCCAGATGTAGTGGTTCCTTTTTGCAAAATGCAATCCAAGTGATCTAGGGAGGTCCACCTCCCACTGCGTTGCAGCCTGTGCAATTCGTCCGGTCGCGTTCAATAGAGGGAACCACCGTGGGAACAGGCTAAATGGGGAAACTCCTTACGAACGTGAAAAACGGTGGGGGGGGGCTGTTAGATTTTTTTCGAAGTTTTCATTGTTCTGGCGTCTTTAAAGTGAAGAAGTTTGGTGTCCCGGAGGGAAAGCTTTCTATATTTGCTTCTTATTGTCTTCAAGGAAACCTGATCCGTATGGGAAATCGATTTGCACACATGGTCAAAAGTGGAAGAAATTGTCTGTATCCTTGATGGCGTTATGATACCTCTTTTTTGCACATCGAATCAATAAGCGACGTCCGCTTTTCTAGTTTTCAATATAAATGCCCTCATATCCAGGCCCCCCCACATAGGGGGACTCCAGCCACGGGGTCCGCTGCCTGGGGGGGCCCGGTAGGGCCTCCCAGAAGCACAAAAGTTCCAATCTTACCCACGTCAGAACTGATTCAATAGTTTACTTTAAAACTTTAAGTTTACAATGCTTTTTTTCTATATAAAAAAAATGAAAATAAAAAAGAAAACATTTTTTGCGTCGAATGTTGATATTTTTCATAACGGCTCAGTACAAATTTTCAAACAACTGCAATATTTCTGAGATTTTGAAAGGGGAAAAATCTTACATAAAGTAATCTGAATAAGTGCGGAAATGGCATGAAATTACTCAGATTGGAGGCAAAATTTTAAAAAATTGTCAGGGGTGGCCCCCGAACCACCCTTAGATAGTATACTAAAAGGGGGGCCCGCTAACTGATCCGACCCCGGGGCCCTGTGGGGGGGGGGGCTGCCCATATCTCATAGTAAATTTTCAGAACTTTGATTACAATATTGTAGAGCTGCCACACCTTACCGCTCTGTTTAGGTGCATGAATTCCTAGAATACAATAAATAGCTTCGTAGATAGGTACTCCGATTCGTTCGAAGCGCATTCTGAAGGATCTCGCCCCAGATCAATTTTTAAGATCGACTATAAACCCGGTCTTAAGAAATAGAGCTTATTAAAAAACGACTTCGAATATAGCGAGCTGATCATTGAAATTGATAGACAAAGCGATAGACCAAGAAGATCTGAGAGTATGTAGCGCGATTGAATTGGTTTAAAGGGTTGGTTACTGTAGATTTTGAGGAAATATGATGGACTCGCTAGATCATCTCATGTGGGTTGCCGTTAGTTAGTCTATTACTCACTTCCTATGTCCATCGCAACCACCCGCTTCCAACAAAAGGATCGTTTAATTTTCCATTCGTCTTTTTTGTGTATAGCCTCGTCTGTAAATTTCAATAATCAGGCGGCTGCCTGATTATGGATACAGCGAGATCAATGAGCTGCCATCGAAACTATAGTGATGAGCGGGAAAAGACTGTTGCCGGAGTTAATGGATCGTATTCGACACATCAAACAGTGAGATTGTATCGATATCGAATGGTTCAACATGTAAACATAGCCTCAAAAGTCAATTGAGTAGTCCGAGGGAACGGGTTTTTTGTGATAGATGTTTGAGGTGATTCGTCAAGCTCAAGTGACGTGGTCGAACTGGCATGCGATATATCGCATCGAGTAGGTAAAAAATCTCGGCAGATTTTGAATTTTTAGCAAAAAAAAGGACTATAGCTTCTGCGCATGAGGCTAAAGAATCATTCTATACCCAAAAATTGGCAACATTCAGAGAAATGAAAGCGGAATAGTGTTTCGGAAAAACAGAAAATTGATATCGATAGCTACATCGAATGCAAGGTTTTTTTCCAAACGCTATTCTGCTTTCATTTCTCTCAATTTTGCCAATTTTTGGGTTCAGAATGATTCTTTAGGCTCATGCGCAGGGACCATCGTCCTTTTTCATGCTAAAAATTCTAAATCTGCCGAGATTTTTGACCCAATCGATGCGATATATCGCATGCCGTTTCAACCACGTCACTTGAGCTTGACGAATCACCTTATGAGTATAAAATCGTTGTGAAAACATAAAATCGTCAGGAATTTTCTCACTTTCAGCTTTTCCGACTGAACTCCTAAAATCTATGTTTGAGGTTATGTTCCATTGTTTTGAACCGAACGATGCATCGAGCGACTATCGAATACGATTCATCGCCGGAGTAAATACTCACGATCGGGGCCGGAAATACAGCCCGAGACAAGGCCGGCCTACACACGATTTTCACCGTGTCGGTGTTTCCTCAGCAGCGAAAATCATTATCGGTCGTCCGATTCCCTCTCGATGTCCTGTCCTGTCAGTCGACCGCACAGAGATGACGGTAAGCCACGGTTCCACAAGCAGCGCGCGACGCAGAATTGGCCGCGCAACCGAGC